ACAGAGCCATGGAGGTAAGCGCAACCGCCGCCCGATCGCACTTTGTGGACACCCTGGTCCACGGGCTTGGGGTTCTCTCTCTTAAGTCCAAGATTAGTCCTGGTTTACCTGGTTTAGCCCTGGTTTAGTCCTGGTTTAGTCCTGGTTTAGTCCTGGTTTAGTCCTGGTTTAGGTCTGGTTTAGTCCTGGTTTAGGCCTGGTTTAGTCCTGGTGTAGTTCTGGTGTAGTCCTGGAGTAGTCCTTGTTTAGTCCTGATTTAGTCCTGGCCAACCTGTGTGTAATTACTACCTGCTCGGATACCTGCCCATAAAATTCCAGAATGTTAAAACCTGCCTGTTTGAGCGACTACTTGCCCGTACCTGTGCAGGACTCTGGGGTGGGCGATATCTCCATAGTTTAAATATATCAAGATATTTAAGATAAAACATAAAATGGATTCTGACATGTTGTATATATCGATATAATGCTTATATTTAATTCTGATTGAAAACTTCTAGCATCACGAACCTTTTTCACCATTTACAGGCTCACCATCAGCAGCTCATCCTCTGTCATGAAAGAACACTCATATTCCACTGAGTCATGTCCTTTAGTCCGACAGGAGCTGAACCGCATCAGCGCACAAGGAGCGAGCTGTTTTTTTACAGAGCTCGTAATTTATGCAAATGAGCCATGAGGTTTTAAGTTTCATTTCTATAAAATGTAACCAAATATGCACAAAACTGCATTTAACACATTATAATCTCAAACGGGCTTTGTTCCTACATGAACTGCCAACCTCTTTGCATTTGCAAAAAAAAAAAAAAAAAAAAAAAGACCTTGTGGAATGGTATATTTGTTTTTGCAGTATTGTGAGTTATTTTTCCGAGATATATATCATACATCTTATTTTTTTACTCCGTATCTCCCAGCCCTATTCACAGGACATATCTGAACCTTCCCTGAAGAGTTTTAGAATGATCTTGAGCTGTATCAGAACAAGTATAAGAGCACAGAGACTAGTATTCGCCCATGGATCACTGTGGATCCTGTGAAAGTGACTTTTTTAGTATCGACAAATGCTCATATGAGAATCTACTTTCAATACTAGTGTAGTTGTAATATTGGTTAGTATCTGATTTTTTATACTTTTGACAGCCTTAGTTTGCATACACACCCATAGGAGACCATTATCTAATTCATGGAGTTATCTGATGATCTGAGAGTAATCTGACACTGTTCTTACAAAGATAAAAAGAACTTACCCCCCGTAGGACAACACTATCCTTTTAGTCACATGTCCCAAGTGATAATTACATTTACTCATATCAGTGCAATAATTAGCGACACTACGCATTCAGCGAATATGTGTGAAATAAGACTTAAAATAGAACTGAGAGCAGTACAAAACTGTATATATTAAATAAAGTGCACACCGCCTACGTATACTTACACTCACTTAGCTTTGAATGTGCTGTACCTACATTTTATTGGCTTAAAATGTGAACAAAAAAGAAAAACACTTTTTGCAGTGGTCCAACATTATTCCACACTGACCTTGTGTATTTAGAGAATTTGAAGTATTCTCTATGATGAAAATATACCGTATTTTTCAGACCATCAGCCTATAAGTCGCTCTGGAGTATAAGTTGCACCAGCCAAAAAATGCATAATGAAAAAGAAAAAAACACATATAAGTCGCACTGCACTATAAGTCACAATTTTGGGGGGAAATTAATTTTATAAAATCAAGAGACCAGGAACCGGCATTTCCTGTTGAAAGGCAAGTTCTAGTAATAACAATAGAATAAAGAACAACAGACTGTTAACGTCACATATGAACAGTTCTTCAGATAAACTATAACATAAACAACAGAACAGAAAGAAGTTTACCAAACTCTCCATCTCACTCCAAATCACTAAATCCATTTGATTCTTCATCCTCGGTGTCACTTTTGACAAACTCCACGACTTTCGGAGGTAAACAGAGCGCCGCTTCCTCTTCTGTGTAGCTGTCGTTAGACTCAGCATCAGTTCTAGTAAGAATTATTCCGGACTTTCCGAATCCTGACAGAATAGTTTTGGTTGTCACTGAAGTCCAGGCTTTGTCGATCCATCCAGTGACTTCCAGGAAAGTTGCACGGTGCATCCTCCCGGTTGCCGTGAGACTGTGTTCTCCATCCCTGCCTTTTGCCAGTCCATCACAAGCTTCTCGCTCACTCCAAACTTTCTTTCTGCTGCTTGATTACAGTTTTCAGCTGCATATTTACACTACTTGCAGCAGGACAGTGGCTCATTCTGCAGAAGACATGTGCAGTAGAGCAAAGTGACAGCGGCACAGGAGCAGCAGATACTGACACACAAGTCTAAAGCCTCTTGCGGCTGTCAGTGTGAAAATTTTAAAATAAGTTGTACTGGAGTACAAGTTGCAGGAAACACTAAACCAGGAGTAAAAGTGCGACTTATAGTCCGGAAAATACGGTAAGCACTTTTCATAAATTTTGGAGACCAGAGCAAAGTTTTGCTGTTATATGATAACCACACACTTCCTGATTATTGTTACGCTTTATAATCAGAGGCAAACAGGACACAGCAGACTTATTTTGACGTCAAGAGCTGCTTATACAACATATCTGTACTGGGGCAACACACATTTTGCTCAAATACATAGGAAGGAATCGGGAACAGGCCCTTTAACATTGTCCAATTTTCAAACTTTCTGAGACTTCTTTGTCAGTCTGCTCGTAGTAAAAAGTGTGGCTCTTTTATTGTTGTTGTGAGTAAAAGTTTGGCTGGAGGAGCTGTGGTCTGAGGCTTCGCTTTTAAAAAGGCAGTTACAAATGAAAACAGACCAGAGGCACAGGGGCTATAGAGCCACTGTCCTGAAGATACCTCCTGCTCCGGCTCAGACATCAGGTTTATCGTCACCATAAACATCTCACGCAGAATGGGACCAGTGTCGATGGAGGAAAACACTCAGTCTTTCACTCTGATTGTTTAGAGGAAGGGGCAAAGGCCAGGGGCTGCATGATGGGAGTTGAGTAAATGTCAAATTCTAAAGACTATTTCCTATATTGCAAAAACAATAAAGCGCTATGTTATTGCCACTTTCTTTTTTTTACAATTCAATTAAAGAGCAGACTGTTCCAGACTGTCAAAATTAAACTTAAAGCTGTGTGACTTTCTGGAGTTGGCACATCACCTGCATGTTTCTATGGAAGTTAAATGGAGATAGATAGTGGAATATTATAGGAAAAAGAACAACATTTCCATGGAAGCAAGCAGGAGGAGGTCTGTGGAGTTGCAAGCTCGCTCACGTTAAGGACATATGTTTTTATTCTAGATTTTTAGCACAATTAAAACTAGGGATGTAACGTTAAAAGTGTCACAATAATATTACAGACCATCACAATAAATCGAATTACAAATCTCGTCACTTAAATTAGTATGTATGGTGCAGAAATATCTAAAAAAACAGAGGGAACTACCCTGTTTTCCGAGCTATTGCATGAGTTCTTAAGCCTCCAACCCCATCAAAAAACGATTGCGCGCCCCAACAATCCAGAGCGCCCCGTACACGAATCCACTCGGGTGTCCCAGTACGACTTCAGTAAACTACAAAGCCGCACCACCCGCAGCGCACGCAAACACACACGGAGCAGACAGCGACCGCACAGCGACAAACACCCGCAGATACATTCATCACTCCACGCCGACGAGGAACGGAACGGAGGAACGAATCAAAAAAGCGAGTGCAATGTGTCACTCTGAGCCACAACTGAACAAGTGAGCCACTGCGAACACGCCGACAATCCAGCGGTCCCAGACAGCACCCTCCCTACACGCCACAACTGAACAAAGCCCAGAGTCACCGTGAACGCGCCAAACAAAGTCCGACTGTCCCATCGAACTGTTGTGTTTCCTTTAAAGTCCGGTGCGGTTTATTTGTGAAAAAAGTTGGAAAATAAACCATTTAGTGCGTCTTATAATCCAGAGCGCCTAATAGCCCGGAAAATACGGTACATAGACCATGATCTTTTGCTCCCTTTCAGTGCAGACTACCTGAATAAATAACTGTTATAAGCACTTTTAAATCTTACATCTTTGAGTTAAGTCTTATCAAGGCATTTTAAGAAGAAAAAGTAGCATATTCACAGTTTTATTGGCCTCTCAAAAATATTACAATAAATATCGTACCGTGAGATGCATATCGAGAAAAATATCATACAGAGAGATTTAGATATTGTTCCCTAATTAAAACAATTTTTGGCTAAAAGGTTACTTAATGAGGCTTTAAAGATAAATACTTATTTAGTTTAGACTTGATCTGTTTGCTTATATTGTGCTTGAGTTTGTGTATGAACAAGTGAGAACTTTGAACATCACTTTCTTGAATCGGGCGCGTTGGAGGAGAGGGAACAGCCTAAGAACATAAACAGAGAAAAATCCCACACACTGTCATATGTGTAAAATGCCCAAGTAAAAATCACAATTTGCAAGCCTGAGTTTGTATAACAAGTATCTCCAGGCTGACATCAAAATCTCAGACACAGTCACCATTTCAACAGAGACAGGATTTTGAAATTTCAGATTATATATATTTCCAGTGATTTGTTCCCCAAAGTCTGATATTAGATATTAGAATAAAGCCGTTTTTAGTTGTAGAGAAGAAAATGCAAGTTTGTGCTGCAAAGAGAAAACCTTGCAAGTTTTTGTTCCATGTGTTCATTAACGCCCAAGTAGTTTCGGCAGCAGCCAAATTACTCTTCTGTATCACTGCTCTGTGGGCATCGTGGTGGTGGAAAATACGTGAGACATTTCCACAGATATTTTGCCAAATATAAGAAATTAGGACCATGGCCACAGCGATTAACAACTGAAAACAACATTATATCTTTTAAATGGTAAAAAAACATCCGCAAAATGTTTAACACAGAGAAAGCACAAACCTACACAGGCTTTTTTATATTAAGACATCACGAAAACCACGTCCAAGCAGCATGCCGAAATCTTTTACTTACTGAGTTTTGTCGCCACTACGGAGATGTTGTGCTGCGCGATGTTCTCTCTGTCCAGAGGTTCGTTGGTGGAAATGGTCCCCTCCACCGGATCAATGTCAAAGTAGCTGTCCAAGTCGCTCTTCCAGTCGATCGAATACCTGCGAGAAAATATTTGTTTAATGTCGACCCTTTTAAACATTACACCAAATGAATGAACTTGTCTAATTTCCACCCCGGGTCCCATGTATATGATTTAGGCTCAATATAACATGGACACGGGCTTCATTAGTCACTGTGAATGGTCATTTTGGGTGAAAGTGCTGAGCGGCGCATATATATTCCAATCTCGTAATGGGGTGCATGTACTTGGGGGTTTGTGCTGACTCTGCGCTTTTCATGGGAACGTAAATGAATTTTGGGGCGCAGTTGGGAGCCGTATCAATCTCGCGAATTCGTCCGATCAACTCAAAGTCAGGAGCGGTGATGTACAAGGCCATAAGCGCAGAGGCCTAGAGATGTTCCAGTGAGGTATTGTTCCAAAAGGGCCATTTGTTCTGAAATGTAGGGGGGTAGAGGTTATGGAAGGAATTTAAAAAAGCGTAGGAAAGATTATGTATTTCCCGATGAAGTTCCTGGTTTTGGAATCAAGTTATCAAACAATGGTAAGAAAAAAAAAGTCAGAATTTTGTAGCTATGTGCATTTGTTAGGGAAGGCAGCTCTTAAAAGTTCAGATAAAGTAGGCCTATTCTACAAAATCGACTTTTTTGACCTTCTACCCATGTTATACTTATTTCCCATCACCATTTATTCATCCAAACTCGAATTCAAAGTGATTTGTGTGATTTGTGAATGTCTGAACAATCATTAAATGCATATTTTCAAAACGTCATTTTGCAGCTCAACCCTCGTTTTCACCACCACCCGTATACGCCCACTGCTTTGTGCTTCAATCTCAAATGTTATCTTCTTAAATGATGATACACATCGGATTCAGCAGCATTGCGTAGTAATTTTAGTAAAAATGGAAAAAAATTTATAAAAAATCCTCTGCTCACTAACACGAAGTGCATCTATCTACAGGAGATGCCGTCTCTTTGTTGTGATGTTTGCAGCAACATCAGCAGTTTCCTAACAAGAAAGTCAGTGAACTTGTGTCATTTATTAAGTTGTTATAGATCTAGAATAGACTAGTGAGATTTAAAATGCAAATTATAATTCATGGGCGTCATAAATTATAACTATATAGCAGACAAGATGTGTGAAAAATCCCTCAGTCATTCAGGTAGACTCCATGGCAAAAGAGAAATTCAATTTGTCAACTGGACAGAAGTTTATTTGGTTGAATACATTTTGCAGCTCAGCTAGTTAATACTTCCTTATACCAGCCAGCAGGGAGGAGCTAACTACCGTGAAACTACTCTGAATCTAACACACCTGTTTGTTTACAGTTTCTGTTAGTTAGTTAGACCAGAGGTGTGGAAGTACCCATTATGGCCCTGAATGGTTATGCTAATGAGACCCTACACTCAGCGCATTTGAATAGGCCAAACAGAAACTGTAAATAAGTACATGTGTTAGTTTCAGAGTAATTTCAGTGTAGTTATCTCCTCCCTTCAGGCAGATATATGGAAGTGTCAACCAGCGCCTGACCAGAACTGAAGAAGCAGCTTGGATGAGCTGCGAAATGTATTCGACCAAATACCGTATTTTCCGGATTATAGGGCGCTCTCTTAAGCCTCTAACCCTATCAAAAAATGATTGTGCGCCCTGCAATCCAGAGCGCCCCATACACGAATCCACTCAGGTGTCCCAGCACAACTTCAGTAAACTACAAAGCCGCAGCGCACGCAAACACGCACGGAGCAGACAGCGAAAAACACCCGCTGCCACACTCACAACTCCACACCGACGAGGAACGGAATGGAGGAAAGAACCGAAAAAGCGAGTGCAATGTGCCACTTCAAGACACAACTGAACAACTGAGTCACTGCGAACACGCCGACAATCCGTTGGTCCCAGACAGCACCCTCCCTACACGCCACAGCTGAACAAAGCCCAGAGTCACCGTGAACGCCACAAACAAAGTCCCACTGACCCATCCAACTGTTGTGATTCGTTTAAAGTCCGGTGTAGTTTATTTGTGAAAAAAGTTCCAAAATAGACCATATATTGACAGTGCGCCTTATAATCCAGAGCGCCTAATAGCCCGGAAAATACGGTACTTGTCCAGTTGACAAATTGAATTTCTCCTTTGTCATATATAGCAGACACAACCGCAATATGTCTTCTTTAATGCAACTACAAAATTCGTCCCCTGGTTTAGATGCTTGAGAATCAGTACTGTCAAGAATATAGACATTTTGAATTAATTTGATTCTAACCCCTAAAGTCCCAGTATGTAACATTTTAGCCAAAAATAGACTACAATATAAGCAGGTTCTTTCATTTTTAATACACTGAAAATCTTTGGTTATTTAGTTAAAACCTCCTTTCTCAAGTCTTCCACTTGTACATAAACACAAATGGAAGTTTTGAGAAAGCAGGTTTTAACCAAATTACCGCTAAACTAGAACTAATTTCAAGTGCCAACTCCATGACGCCGTGCAATTAACAAAGCCTCCGAAAGCTCCACACTGCAGTCTTTAGTCAGTCAGTGCACGTTCTGTTAAGCCACTCTCTACAGCTGCCCCGGGGTAGACTGAAACAAGTGAGGCTGACAATCTGTGCCATCAGCCCCCACGACCGTCGCCATCACCGATCACTCGCAGACGCACGCCCCGTCCGAGCTAGACGAGGTGGGTGAAGTGTCATGCCTAAGGACACAACGACACTGGTCAGAGCAGGATTCGAATGGATGACCTGCGGGTTGATGGATGAGTAGGTCTAATCACTCACTTTCTACCAGCCGTCCATACGAGAAACAATATTGCACTGTGTTGTATCGCTCAGTTGGCTCCGATCCGCGTTCTGCTTTCATTTTATTATTGATTTATTCTGCGTTTAATATTATTATGATGTCCATTACTAACAAAACTACAGTGAACATTTATCTTTCGAAGAACTGCTCAAATGAATAAGTTGGCCTATACATAAATGGTAAATAGTCAAATTTTTATACAGCGCTTTTCCATCTTCAAGGCGCTCAAAGGTTACATACGGCAAACACAAGTGTACGCAGATACTGGAGGCGAGGTGGGTTAAGTGTCTTGCCCAAGGACGCAACAACAGAGTTCATTCGTGTGACCCGGAATCGTAATGATCCGAGCGCTGTACCCAATGTCGAGAGGGGGATTCGAAGTCTTTGGATCTAAAAGGTCACGCGATGAGGCTTTAATGATAAAAACATGTTCATTTTAGACTTGATCTGTTTGCTCATTTTATGCTTGAGTTTCTATATGAATGAGTGAGAATTCTGAACATCACATTCTTGAAACGGGTGCGTTGGAGGAGAGCGAGCAGCCCAAGAACATGAATAGAGGAAAAATCCCACACACTGTCATATGTGCATAATGTGACTTTTACCAAGACACTGTCGTGACGTTCAGACTGCAGCCTGAAGTGACCCGAATCTGAGTTTTTTTGCCCCTATGCCACCTGTATCTGATCTTTTAACAACGCAGATCCGATTTTTTTTCAAATGCGACCCAGGCCACTTGGATATGTGCTCCTAAAACCGATACATATCCGATCTTTTGACACGAGATTATAGTTTGAGTGGCAAGGTCTCATTCATCCCACCTACAAGTCGCAAATCTACACAAATGTTCTTCTCGTCGTACGAAAATTGTGTATGAACTCCGTGTCAGTGAAGCATTGAAGCACAGACCAATCCCACCACTCTTGGCTGCGACTCCGCACCCACACGTTCCTTTCTACGGACGTTGCTGCCACTGCCCCACAAAACAAAACGCCACGGCCAAAAACCTCGTCCTTCTCCTTCTCAATTTCCTCCTTAAAACAAATAAGCTGTACATGTTCTGGCTCCGGTACGACAGCAACTTTAAAACTGCCAGGCGCTCAATGCTGCGTCCATGTTTAGATGACCTTTGCAAACACTGAGCCTCCAATGTGTCCTCCAATGCGCATGTTGGACAGTTTTGGGGCGCTTAAAGTTCAAGCTGGAGATCACACACAAGTCGCATTTAATTGGAAACACGAACGACCTCACAAAAAAAAAAATCTGATTTCAAATTAAGCATTAAGCCCTGCAGTCTGAGCGTAGCCTTAGATGTCCTAATAATAATCACAATTTGCAAGCCTGAGTTTGTATAACAAGCATTTCCAGGCTGACGTCAAAATCTCAGACACAGTCACCATTTCAAAGTGAGACACGATTTTGAAATTTCAGATTATATGTATTTTTAGTGATTTGTTCCCCGAAGTCTGTAAGATATTAAAACGCAGCTATTTTTAGTTGTAGAGACGAAAAAGCAAGTTTGTGTTGCAATTGGGGAAACTTTAACCTTGCCAGTTTTTGCTCCACGTGTTAGTTATTACCAATATATTAACCATACACAGTGACCCCAACTTAAACCAGATACATTTTTACATACATGATACAGCAGTAGGTTAAGTGTCTTGCCCAAGTGTACAACAACAGCGTTCATTTGTGTGACCTGGAATCACCGCTGTACCAATGTCGAGACGGGGATTTGAAGTGTCAATGTTTGGATCAGTGGACAAACACCGCAGCAGCTACCTCGCACTACAAGACCTTTTGCTAATACAAATTGGCTGCTGTCTGCATTTGGCTTTGACTTTGAATTTTTGTTGCTTCTAATACTTTCATTTTGATGTCCACAACAAACAAAACAACCACGAACAAAATCACTGTTAACCAGCTAACCAGCAGTAAGGCGCTATGAGGTATCCCACAATCCACTGCACAGATCAAACTGAACATTTCTAAACACTGTCCAAGTTCTACACTGCAGCAGATTCTTCATTAAAGTCTTTTGTATAAATAAACTCAACTTTACAACATATAAACCATAACCACTACAGAGCCACATCAGCCCGTTTGATAATATAATTCAGCTTTGCCACTTTTGTTTACATTTTACAGAAACAAAATTTAAAAACACATGGCTCATTTGCATAAACTATAAGCGCTGAAAAAAAAAACGGTTTGCTCCTTGTGTCCTGATGCAGTTCAGC